TAAATTGTATTTTAACGTTTGCATATCATTGACATGAAAACGTAAAAATACAATTTTACTTAAAAAAATTACGTTGACTTACAATGGCTTGTCATCAAAAGGCTGCGTTCCTCAATGAAATGTCAAAGTGGGCTTTTATAATGTGGACGATAGTATATATAATATACGTTCTTTGATATAATAATACTTTGCCTTTGACTTATAATGAAATTTTTTTATAGAATGTCAGTCCTGAAGATAACACCATTTTGGAAGAAATACCAATACTTGAACCAGTTTTGATTGAATTTGGTGAGTTTACAGTTTATAAAAAAATCAGATTTAATGTTATTCATTATCAAATCTCTATAACCTAATAGGTTATAGAGAATTGATGAGGTTTAACTTATAAAGATAAGCGGATTTAGAAATTAGGTTTTAATTTAACATTGTCAATTAAAATATCGCGTGTGTCTTATTTTTAGATATGAGTGGTCAAAAAATATATAATGTAGCCATGGAGAAGAACCTTATAAGTGATAAAGGATACCCCTCGTTTACTGAAGCGTTTTATATATGCTTCTGTCTGTTTTTTAATTTTGGTGTCAAATTTCCAAGAAATGTGAGTACAACTTTGGAAATGATACAAAGATATATTACCGTACATCATTGTTTAATGTAATATTCCCTTATATTAAACAATATCAACAAAGACAGTTTAAGGTTTTTATGTTAATGTGTAGTTTTTATATTAATACGTAGTTTTTTTTGTTATATGAATTGTTTTTTTATTTTCTCCAAGGGCAAAACTTCCTAATTCGTGCTGTCGACTGCTGCGATTTTTTTATATTAGTGTTTATTATATAATGGAATTGAAAACGACTTCATTTCACAGTACCATGGTCATGCATGACATGTTTTAATATGCATCTCAAATTGTAGAATTCACTGGTACTGACATAACAATTTTGATTTGATGTTAGGTACTTTTTTCAAAATTTCAAAAGTAGGAAATTTTGATTTTATATCGTCCGTCCTTTTCTTATTTACCCTGGAGCGGCTCCAGTGGAGCCGCGAGAGGGAAGAGTTCTTTCTAGGACGTCGTTGCGCGGTATTTTGTACTGTAAAAATGAGCTTGTGTTCAATCCTCTTAAAATGCACATATTTTTCATAATGTAACATTTTTGTAGTCGGGTTTTAAATTTATTTTCGAAAACAGTAAATATTTCTTAAAACAATATTGTCATCTTACAACCATGAATTTATATAGTATTTTCGCAAATAGATTTGAAACAGAATACACCGCGGTTGCGAAATAGTAGCAGCAAATTATTACTTTCCTGTATATTTTATTACTAATGAATTTGATTTAAGTTTATATGTTAACATTTTCAGACTGAAAACATATTCTTAAGACTGAAAACATATTCTTAAGACTGAAAACATATTCTTAAGACTAAAAACACGTAGTACCTGAGTAGGTTTTATGTTTTTTATTTTTTATGTTATTGATTATTATAATATTTATGTATTTATGTTATTGAATATTACAATATTATAATAAAGTTTTATTTAGATATAGATATGTATGGACTGATAAGATTAAACCTATACTTCAGGTTAAAACATGAAGAGGAATTTTGATGTTTTTTTTTAATCCTACCCTAAATAGTGATAATAATAGAGATTGACCTGCTCTTCCTTGTATACAGGATATATTATTTAACAATATTTACTTTTTAAATAGTGTACTTTAAATATTCTTACTGTCTAGAATAATTATAGGTAAGCCCCAATTACTACAGCCTACACTCTAAAAAATAATTAACACGCTTTAACACCAAACTGTGTTATATTAAGTCCACACGAAACCAAAAATTTTTACACCGCATTAGTGTACAAACACTAATTAAATCTTAACACAGAGTTATGTGTTTAAATTTTATAGGTGCCTGTAATCTTTACACGTTTTTGGTAAAACACAAATGGTTTTATTTTAAATATTTTGTCGTGTTAAATTTAACACATTTTTGGGGTTGGGTGGGTAAATAAAAATGAGGTATTTGTTAAATAAAAAATTTATTGTATTTTTTTCCAGATTAAAATTTATAAAAATCTTAAACTTTCATAAACAGAATAATAATCTGAAAATATAACTAATCGGTTAAAAAATTTAAATTTATAAAAAACTTTAACATAATGTTGTTAAAGTTTTTTATAAGTGTTAATTTCTTAACCCAGAATAGTTTTTTCCTGAAAATATATGATAAAAACTGTTATGTATTAAAAATTTACATAAACAAACATATATGTAATATATATTATATATTACAATATCGCCCCCTTAGTGCTACAACTGGATAACTGAACTTTCGTGATAAACAAAAATACATAACAAACAAGAAAACATTTGTTGGTTAATGCCTTTTTGTTTATCACGAAAATTGACTTATCCATGGATGGAACTGCAGTTATAGCATTAAAATAGCGATATGTTTTTAGGTAAAAACTAGTCTGGGTTAAAAATTTGCATTTATAAAAAAACTTTAAACTTTTATTCATAAATTAACATATATAAAAATTTTAAAATTACATAAACATAATATTCTAAATATACGGGATTTTACACAGATATTTTTTAGAGTGTAAGTTATTTAACTCTATAAATGGTTTGTATAATTAGGTATACTATTATGCTATATAATTATATATAAATATATATATATATATATATATATATATATATAAATATATATATATATATATATATATATATATATATACTATAATTTTACCTAAAACCGCAGCAATTTTAATAGCATAAAAGCTTACATTTCGCTGTAAAATAACATTAAAATTAAAGTGTTGAGTATATTAAATGGTAAATTCACAGCAATTATTTGTGTACTTGTGTACTGTGATTTTACAAGTTACTGTAAAATGGGTTGATCTTTACAATACGTAATAATAATATTACAGCAATTTTTGTGGGTTTTTTACGGATAAGGTTAGTAGTAACACTGTAAAAGTACATCTTTATTACAAGTGTGTGTGGTATATTTACAGCAATAATTGTTGTGAAGATTTAGCACAATTTACAGGCGTTCTGTAAAATGCTGGTAGAATTACAGCAACGATTGTAGTAGTTTGACTGTAATATTTTATACATTTTACAGTCACTATAATTAAAAATTAAGGTATTTTTACAATCGGTATTTAAAAATACAGTTAAGCTTTAAATTTACTATAATAATTGCTGGCAACAAATAGCCTACAATAATTGCTGGGAAACTGCTTGAACTGTTTTTACAGTGCAGTTATAATTTGTAAAAATATGTACGTAAAATAAAACTCTAATATTACCTATTTTTGTTTTATTTTTTTTAAATTTGTAAATGTAATTTTAATATTTTTTTAATTTTGTAAATGTATAATTTATAAATAAATTTAATAATTAATTATTGCGAGCACGCGAGCGCTGATTTAGATTGCAGCAGCAGCGAAAACGTTTTGCTCCGCGCCAAAATTTTATCAAGCAAACATCGTACGTGCTTTAGTATGTACATATGTATGTTTGTGTGTTAACACATACCTACTTACAACTCTCGGCAAAAATATAAATTTAAAATAACTATTAATACATAATTTATATTTTTTTAAATTTATTTTACTCAAACAACTAGTAATTATTAATAATAATAATTGTAATTATTAATAAATGCGTAAAATATTGTGTGGTGTGACGTGGCAAAGCTAGCGAATGTAGATCATTCAAGGTAAAGATTATAAGTTGGTCAAGTGGTCTCTTGGCTAGCGTATTCATCCATGAAAGGGTTTTTTCTGTAGTTTTTCCCTAATAATCAAGCAAAACAATAATTTAACATCATTAAGAGCGTGCAGCATTTCATTTCATTTAATATAATGCCAAAATACTCCCTATATTCGCCCTGCGAGTGGACAGTTTGTTAAAATATAATAAAAATAGCAGGATACTCACATATACACATAAAACACCTGTGGCGCTGATTATATATTGTATATTAATTAGTGTGTGCTAAAGCACGACTGACTGCTTGTGGTCATTATGTCGGTTTTTTAACTAGCACTATAATGTGAATTGTTCTATTAGTTATGTATCAACTTGTAAATATTGTAAATAAATGTATTGTCTGTCTGTCTGTATTCGTCCATGAATCGACAAGTCCGCGGTTCAAACCCCAGCGAATATAAAATATTTTTTAATTTTTCATATTACGTCATCACATCGTCATAATCACGTGACATAGATTTAAAAGATAAAATCTAGTTAGACAGTAGTACCAACCAAATGTTATTTACTACCAACCTAAGATTTAAGAGATAAACCAGGACCTCGAAGGTCCTTATCTTTCAGGAAAAGGACCCTCTGGTCATTGACCTTCAGCAGCCGAAGACATCCTGAAAAGGACCTCTTCGGCACTGAAAATCCTGAAAATCCATCTGAAGACCTTCTGGGCATTGTCTTCAACAGCAGAAGACATCCTGAAAATCCTGAATGGTAACACATGCCATCCAGTTTGAGTCAACCCGCCTTCTACACTACTACCATATACGAGAATCATTTACTATAATTTTAGGCTTATGGTATGACAGTAAGTGTAAGCCCAATATAAATACATTTCTTAAACCGTTTTGCTTATTATTATTATTAATTATCTTTATGATCATGGTTTTAAGTGGATACACCCTCAAACAAACGAAACTTTTACTTCTAGGATTGTTGCTCCTTTATTCATAGCTGATGCTCCTGCTAGAGCTAACCTTTAAAATATTCTTTCATTTAACGGTGTGTTTGGATGCAACATTTGCGAAGTTTTGACAAAAAAATGTAAAAAGATTGTAGGTAAAAAAAATACTCGTATTTTCCCATTTGAAACAAAACCACCAGTGTTAAGGACTAGTAAGCGCATGGAAGTACAAGCGAAAATTCAAGAACTTTCTGTAAAATCTCACTCTCATTAAAAGAAAAGAAAGATAAGCCCATGGCAAAATTAATGAACGTAATACCGAAATATACAGGAAACCAAACTGATGACATACATTTATGGTTTAAAAGAATTAAAACTGTTCAAGAGACTAATGAAGAAGAAAAAAAGCCCTCATTGGCATTAATTGGTAAACTTGAAGGGAGGGCTCTAGAATGGTTCCATTTGAAGCCAGAATTTGCAGCAATGAGCTGGGTAGAATTTAAAGAAATAATGTTTAAAATATACAAGAAGAAAGACAATACAGCTTATGAAAGAATTTCAACAACGAAAGTGAATAAGGGGATTGGTCTTGAAGAGGCTGACATTATTTCTTATGTTATTGATGGTATGGACAATACTAATTTACAAATGCAAGCACAATTCAATTTTGGGACGAAAATAAAAAAAACATATCCACTGCTTTTAAAAGTATTTAATTAAATTCTTTTCTGTAGTAGGCACATCTCAGATGTTTGTTTTACAAGGAGGGAAATATATTGGATCCAAATAAAAGCCGATTAAGTCCAACAATATTATCAAATCTTGTATTTCTAAATTCGCTACCTTTTAAAGATTGGAATTTGCAATAACATAATATACCCAATACCATTACAATTGTGTACGAAATAAAAATCAGTAAGGGAAGGGCGGGGAACCCGCTAATTAAGCATCTAAATTAATTTAAAATTAAAACAAAAACTTTAATTTAAAAATTATTTTTAGTTTTTTTATCAAAACTTTTTTTTTGGCGAAGATGTAGGACCAAAAGTGGCAGTGAGTCCAATTTTAATTTTCCTACCTATAACATTCTCAATCTTACCATTTTTGCAGGTAGACTCCAAGGACCCTCTTGATTTTTTCAAAATCTTTTTTACCGGTCAATTATACGATTTGATTCTCGAACAATCTAATTTTTATGCAATACGGTCGAATAAAGTCTCTAAAGACCTTACCACAGAGAAACTAAACGCTTTCATAGGCACACTTATAATAATGGGAATCAATCCGCTGCCACAATTACGTCTGTATTGTTAGACCAAATTTTTACAATAGAAGAGTGGCCAATATTTTCCCATTTAAAAAATTCCTGAAAATCTTGAGGTACCTTCACCTCAATAATAACCGTTTAATGCCACAACGTGATGCACCAAATTTTGACAAATTGTATAAAATTCGTCCTCTGATAAATCACTTCAATACAGCTTTCGCCGAGTCGTTTACTCCTAGCCGAAACGTAGCTGTAGACGAAAGCATGGTCGCGTTTAAAGAAAGAACGACTTTAAAACAATTCATGATCCTAAACCAATAAAACGCGGATTCAAAATATGGGCAATAGCTTGCTCCGCAACTGGATATCATTTCGGTTTTGATATTTATCAAGAAAAAAGTGAAGGAAAAACCGATAAACTTGCTTTAGGGGAGCGAGTTGCCTTGGGATTAGCTAATGGATAAAGGATACTGTGTCTTCTTTGACAACTTTTTTGCCTCCATTCCCTTGATGTTGATGTTGCACGATCGTGAATTGTTTGGTTGCGGAACAATTAGGCAAGACCGTCAAAACTTTCCAACCAGAAGTTTGGTGGCCGATAAAAACATCAGAATGGGGGAACAAGATTTTAGAACATGTGGTGAAGTATATGTTTGTAAATGAAAAGATCGTGGGAAAAAGTCAGTCAAAGTAGTCAGTAATATGCATAATGCAGGAGATCGTGGGGAAGTCCACAGGACAAATAGACTCGGTGAACGTCAATCTGTTCTTTGTCCCCAATCTGTAGTATAACAAACATTTGGGCGGCGTCGATCGTTTCGATCAAAGGATGGCTTTCTATAATATCGCTTGAAAAAGTAAAAGATGGTGGATTAAACTTTTCTACTATTTTACTGACGCGGGAATAGTAAACTCTTAAACCTATTATAGAGAGAATTTTAAGATTACACATCCCCGCAAAAAACCTATGACTCGTCTGGAAGTATTCTCGCCAATAATTTGGTTGGTAACTTCTGTGCGAGAAAAAAACCAGGCCCACCATTGCAGCGAGAACTACAATGCGGCGCTGTCAACAATGTGTCAAATTTGGGGGACAACAAAAGAAGACTTCCATTGCCTGCACAGAATGTCAAGTAGCTCTATGCATTGAATGTTTCGTGCCTTATCATCAAACCATTTTGTAAAAAAAATAATATACACTTTTTGATTTTTTTTTCCTTTAAACATTTTTCTATGTTCGTTAATATAATAATTAATAAAATATTACTTAAATAGTCATGCTTTTTTATTACACACAAAGTGTGGAAAGACCGGACTGGCTGGTATAAGTAGTTAAGAAAGCGGGTTTCAGCGCCAAAGTCGATGGCATGTGTTACCTTTCAGGATTTCAGTGCCGAAGAAGTGTTTTTCAGGATGTCTTCGGCTGAATTTCAGGATTAGCAGGATGTCTTTAGCGCCGAAGACATGGACCTTCTGGTTTTTTCAAGGTCATTTCAGGATTTCAGGATGTCTTCAGCAGATGCAGACAATGACCAGAAGGTCCTTTTCAGGGACATTTCAGGATTTCAGGATGTCTTTGTCTGCTGACGAAGACAATAACCAGAAGGTCTTTTTTTCAGGGAAATTTTCCTGAAAGATAAGGACCTTTAGAGGTCCTTGTTTATCTCTTAGATCTTTAAGTTGGTACAACTGTCTAACTAGATTTATGTTGGTAGTAACTAAAATTTTATAAAAAAAAAGCCTAGCCTTGGGTATAGTTGGTTAGGAAAATATAAACACACACAATTTATATTAAAGTTTTTATTTAAAAATTATTTTACATATTGTTATTTAAATAATTATTAAAATACAAATACAAATTAAATGACATTTTTTTATCTATCCAACTGTTACGCTTATCACTAAATCCTAACCATTTAACAAAAACTTTATTTTTTTGCCTTTTTAATACTTTTTCCACCAGATTGTTCTTTGTAGAAACCACCCAATACGTTTTCACCGTTTGTATCTTGAAGCAAATAGGTAGCTGGATTGGTGTACTGCACTTTTTTTATTACAAAAATTTCTGTCGACCAATTTGGCATGTATTGTTTATCAAAGACTCGTCTAATTTTTGAAATGCGCACATGATCACCAACATGAAATTTTACATCCGATTCACTCATTTTAATATGACTATAGGCTGTTTTTAAAATGTCGTTTGCATTTTTCTCACTCACATCTGTCGGTTTCATATGAATGGTTCTATGTTTAGTATTATTATATTTGAATACAATTTGTGATAACAAGTTGACTCATTTGTAGTTTCCTTGAACGTTAAACTCTTTCCACATTAGATTTTTTAACGTTCTATTAACTCGTTCAACAATGGTTTTTTAAATTCTTCGTTGTAGAATTCTTTTCCCAAATCGGTTTGAATATTTTGTGGAACTTGTTCTTTAAAAACCTTTTCCATTGCTTTGCAAACTTCCACAGCACTTTTATTTTTTAATGGATATGCCCACACATATTTAGAAAAACAATTTATAACAACCAAAATATACTTGAATCCATTGTTTATTTTCGAATATTAAATGATTTTATGATGACTCTACGTCTTTTAAAATTAATTCTAGCTGGTTTATGAAGTTCTTCAACTACATCTCTCTTAACATCAGTGATAAATTTGTTGTTCTTTTGTTGTTGTTGTTTTCGTTTCATATTTATGCTATAACTTTAAGCTCTCTCAGTTCTTCAACAATTGATACTATTTCCTTATCATGTGCTGTGTGTCCTGTTTGCTGTGATGCAATTAATTCACGCAATCTCTCTACCAACTCGTTGGGATCATCAAAATAAACATACCCCCTCGTTTTGTGATAAAACAAAATTAAATGGGGGTGAAGGATTTGGTGAACAATAATCAACAGGAGGAGGAGGAGTAAATTCAGGCATGGGTGACCAGCATGTTAGATCTCTAGAAAAAAAAAATTAAAATTCTTAGATAATTGTAATGTATTACATTGTCCCTTCCTGTTCCTCTTCTTGTTCATCAAGTGGTAGTATAACAAATGCTTGAGGAGGACTGGGTGTTGGTATCTCATCGACGTTGTCGATAGTTAAATCACTAGAAAAAAAATAAATAAATAAAATTTTAAATAATTAGATAATTGTGGTATTAATTGCCTCAGTCTTGAACCTTTCCGTAAGCTCTAAATTTACCAACTCTTTAAAAGTTGGTAGAGCTAAAGGTTGAGGTTCATAGTCCTCCTCCATGGTTAAATCTATCATGGTACTAAAAATAATAATAATAATAATAAAATTTTTAATATTTAGATAATTTTGATGTATTATATTGCCTCCTCTGCATTTTGATCATCTAATACAATTATTTCTCCATGTTGTTGAAGAAATCTATAAAAATTAATCACACATAACACATCGCCAAAATTCTTGGACCCCCTTATATTTGTCAAAATGAAACACTATTATTAAAAGTCATTTAGTTTGGTTATATATCCAGTGCAAATTGGCTAAATTAAATCTTAACTGAACAACAAAAAAAATTCAAACGAAAAATAGTGCATATTAAAATGATTACCAGAATTTTAAGTCTAGAAGAAAACCACTTTAAAGCAAATCAAAAATGCATTAATATTCGGTGTGTCCTCCCCTGTTATGTAGTAAGGTGTTAACTCGCCTGTGCATGGAAACAATAAGGGCGTTAATGGTATCCATTGGGATGCTATTCCATTCTTCTTGGGCCGCGAGTGTGAGTTCCTGGAGGGTGCTAGGAGGATCAATTCTGTTTGAGATTGCTCGTCCAACATAATCCCACATGTGCTCAATGGGATTCATGTCTGGCGAATTTGCTGGCCACGGTAATCTTTGAATATTCTCAATTTCGAGTGCATTTTGTACTCTTCTCGTGCGGTGTGGCCTAGCATTGTCATCCATGAAAATAAAATTGTCTCCAATTTCATTTTGGAGAGGATAATTAATGGGTTCAATAATGTTTTGAACATATCTATCCCCTGTCATAGTGCCTGGAATGGGAATAAGCTGCGTACGACGACCATGCATTATGCCTCCCCAAAACATTACTGATCCTCCTTGGTATGGAACGACTTCTCTGGCAAAAGATACTCTTTCTTGTCGCCCTGGCCCCCTCCAAACTCTTTGTCGCCGACTATCACTAACTAAACCAAATCTGGTTTCGTCAGAAAAAAGAACATTTCGCCACTGAGCTAAAATCCAGTCTCTGTGTTCCTGTGCCCACTGTAGACGAGCAGCTACGTGTCTGAAAAGTAACCTGGGTACTCTTAATGGTCTCCTGGATCGCAAATTGGCTCTAGCAAGCCTTCGCCGTATTGTGGTACTGGAAATTAATCGACCATACGTTCTTCTTAAATGAGTTCGGGCAGCTGAGACTGTTATGGTTCGATTCCGACGTACATAACCTACTAGATACCGATCTTCTCTTGCATTAGTTACCCTAGGACGCCCAGTTCCACGTCTCCAGTCAACGCTGTTAGTTTCCTAGTACAAACGCACTATTCGAGTAACTGAAGTGCGGGGAATCTCTAGTCTATCCGCGATTTGATAATTCGACAGACCCTCATCATGCAAAGCTCTATTGAACACTGAAATTCTATTGCCAGGCATAATTGCAAAGAAAAACTCAACATTCACTTAAACACGCTAAATCGATATGAACCACTTTTTAAACATTGGTATCTAAAATTATAAAAACTTGTTTTTGTAAAATTTTTAGATGCCTATCACACATGAAATAAATATGGAATTAATGTACAAAAAACAATCATGATAAATATTACGAGGGGGGTCCAAGAATTTTGGCGATGTGTGTATTATAAAAACAATCATATATAAATATATCTTACTCTTCTATGGTCATTAATGCAGGCTGTGGTTTTAAATCACTAAAATAAAACATTAATAATTTAAACAAAAAAATTTAAAAAAAAAATTTAAAAAAAATTAAAAAAAAATCAAAAAAAAATTAAAAAAAAATTAAAAAAAAGAAAAATAAAAAAAAATTCAAGAAAAAAAAATTCAAAAAAAAAATCAAAAAAAAAAAATTCACAAAAAAATTAAACAAAAAAAAATAATACTAAATATTTCTCTCATTTTGCTCAAATTCAAACATTTTTCTTCATCTTCTACATTTATGACAGTTTTTGAAATTATTTTCTTAAGCCATTTTCCAACCCATGGATGTTGTGAGTTGTATAATTAAGATGGGCTCTCAACCTCAAGCCAAATGAATCAACCTTAAAAGGAAGTCTCACAAACTTGTGGATAACCTCCTTTGTGGTGGTGTTCAAAATTGATATCTCCTTCGGCCAAAATGGTAACCCTTCGGATTGATATTCAAAACCTTGTACATCGAGAATAAACATAATTGTATGAAGAAGAAAAAACAGAAGAAGAAACTGGTCTCCCTTGTTGGATGGATAATGGGGATTGCAGTTTCAACGAAAACAACAATGACTATTTGGAATTGGAAAAAGTTTGTGAGTTTTTGAAATTCTATATAACTTCATCACCCTTTGAAACGGTTATGGTAAAGGGTGATCAGAAGAAAAAATGGCTTAAGAAAATAATTTCAAATACTGTCATAAATGTAGAAGATGAAGAAAAATGTTTGAATTTGAGCAAAATGAGAGAAATATTTAGATCTCAGCATTGCGAAAAACATGATAATAATTCATTAAGTTGTAAACAAGAAAACTTACTCTTCTATGGTCATTAATGCAGGCTGTGGTTTTAAATCACTAAAATAAAACATTAATAATTTAAACAAAAAAAAAGAAAAAAAAAATTAAAAAAAAATCAAAAAAAAAATAATAAAAAAAAATCCAAAAAAAAAAATTTCAAGAAAAAAAAATTCAAAAAAAAAAATTCAAAAAAAAATACAAACAAAAAATTAAACAAAAAAAAATAATACTAAATATTTCTCTCATTTTGCTCAAATTCAAACATTTTTCTTCATCTTCTACATTTATGACAGTATTTGAAATTATTTTCTTAAGCCATTTTCCAACCCATGGATGTTGTGAGTTGTACAATTAAGATGGGCTCTCAACCTCAAGCCAAATGAATCAACCTTAACAGGAAGTCTCACAAACACATATAATTAAGTTGTACACAAGAAAATATTTACTTCATTTACTTTTGGAACGAACTTTGTGTTTAAAAAATAAAAAATAAATATTGTAAAAGAGATTTTGAAACATTGTGATTTCAAATTATATATATATGTTACGGCTAATGTGCAAACTTGGATAGTTTATAAACTAGCTGGATAGTTTATAAACTAGCCAAACTGTCAGCTATTTTAATTGAAAACATATTTTCAACTAAATTAGCGGCTAGTTTACAAAATAACCAAGGATCTTGGCTAATTTACTTGAAATTATTAGGAAAACTAAAATAGCTGGATAGTTTGTATACTATCCAATTCAGTTTGGCTAATATGAAAACCAAAATTTCTAGTAACACAAAATAACCAAGGATCTTGGCTAATTTACTTGAAATTATTAGGAAAACTAAAATAGCTGGATAGTTTGTATACTATCCAATTCAGTTTGGCTAATATGAAAACCAAAATTTCTAGTAACACAAAATAGCCAAGCTTTAGCTAGTTTGTAAACTAACCAACGAATTCTCTGGCTAATTTATTAAAAAAGTGAGGTTACGGCATTGTTTTTCGTTTTGCCGGCTTAACCGGATTTGTTTTGTGCATTTTAACGTTTTTAAAATGAATCACAGGCAAAATTTTAACGCTTCCTTGTTAGCAAACTCAACAACACAACCCTACCGACCCCGCCCCATTGCCCCCCCCCCCCGCCCCAATGGTAAAAATGAGAGAAAAAAACCCAAACCAACCCAAACTCAACAACACAACCCAACCGACCCCGCCCCATTGAGCGAAAAACCCAACTAATAGCCAGAGAATTAGTTGGTTAGTTTACAAACTAGCTAAAGCTTGGCTATTTTGTGTTACTAGAAATTTTGGTTTTCATATTAGCCAAATTGAATTGGATAGTATACAAACTATCCAGCTATTTTAGTTTCCCTAATAATTTCAAGTAAATTAGCCAAGATCCTTGGTTATTTTGTAAACTATCCGCTAATTTAGTTGAAAATACATTTTCAATTAAAATAGCTGACAGTTTGGCTAGTTTATAAACTATCCAAGTTTGCACATTAGCCTTGACATATATATATTGTAAATGTAAAAACATAATACATCCTTGTATCAAGAAAATGTATATTGCATTTGTAGTAAAAAAAAATAAAACTATATATATATATAAATTTTTCTTGTTTTTATTTTATATCAATACATTATTAATTTACAGAATTTTTACAGTACTGGTAAGTGGATTATATTTAACTTTTTTATCGTGTAAAATCAACAGGTAAGCACTGGTGATTGCAGAAACATCTTGATCAGTCTCCCATTCCAAACGAATGTCGACACTTCCATTTTTTATGGTATCCATTTGGTAACAACAATCGATTACAATTAGTGGAGCCCTTTCAATAAATTTCTCCAATGTGAAACAAGGCTCACCCACATCTTTGTAGTAGTAGGACTGTTGAAATCGTGCATACATTTCATACAACAAGGCATACTGTTGTTTGCTAAAGTTTAGGTTTAAATTATCGTAGGGGTAAACCTCAGAGTTCAAATGGACTTTGAAGTTTTATATTTGGCAGTGATCAAACATGCTGCAATCCTTATTTGGTTGATTTTTTCTATTTGTTTGGAATCCAAATATTATTTACGTTCCAAGTGTGTTGTTTTGTTTGATCTAAAAGTGGGTATTCATGAAGTTCCTATCCACGAAACGACATAGTCAGGTCTCTACCCTTTTCAATGACTGATAACAGTTGTAATTTGGATTGATCATCCACTTGGACACCACCACAAGTACACAGTAGTCTTCTTAACTGAACAGCTGATGTTTGAAGTCTGAATCGAAACCAACACCAAAATTTGTATTTTTTATTTTTTCCACGAATTTTAATGATGTAATAACTTAAAGCCCAAGGACTGTAAAAATGCTCTATTCTTCGAAGTCAACGATTTAAGCTTCGTTGACACACTAACAGCTGCTGCTTTTCTTGATTTACTATTTATTCTAGATGATGATGACGACGACGAGGCTTGAGGGTTATATTTGATTACCATTTCACTTTTTTCAAATGCACTCGTACTGTGATCATCTCACCATTAAAATCAACCAAATTACCATCTTGATCGGTTATTTTAAGAATAATTTCATCCAAATAACGAGTGTTGATTGGTAGATAAATTACGTTGGAGGGGGATTCGACAATTTTATAACCAGGGGCTACTGTTGGGTAGAACATATGTAGGATATGAGAGAGTTTATCGTTGTTGTATGAATTGGCAGTCAAATTACAGTCAACACATATAGTATTAACTTTGGTTATGTTGATTGGATTTATATTACAGCTTGCAATTCTACGTGCAATACGCAATTTTCTTGCACAAAGGCATGCGCATAGCGACGTTTCGTGCAAGTCTATTGCCGTTTCAAAATAACGGTCCTGCTCGATTTTTATTGCAAGTTGCATGCAAATCTGGGGGAAAATTGGTTACTTTGTTCATACCAATCCACACTTTAAATTCCCTAGACACGCTGGTTTGTTTGTTTTTGAAGTGTTATGTTGTTTATTATTCTACCGTAAATGAATTCTACATATACCTAATAATATTATATACACTTCTCCAAAAAATTAACGCACCACACCAAAAATAATTTATTATGTTTAATATGTTTTGAAAATGGTAAAGATAAAGGTACACACTATCTGTATATTTATTTAAAAATAGGTTTTTATTTATAATGTCAGAAAAAAATCCCTAAAAATAATGTTTTTTTCAAAAAATTAAAAATTAACAGAATACGATTTTTATAAAAATTAAAAATTTGTACCTAATATTGAGTATTTCCACCTCTACTACGAATGACAGCCTCACATCTTCTGTTTATACTCAAAATTAGGGTTCGAATTTCATTTTGGTCAAAATTCTCCCAAATGTCCAGTAGAAGGCGCTCTACATCCTCTAAGTTATTCGAAAGGTTTGGATGGTCCCTTAAACGTCTCCCAAGAATGTCCCAGATGTGTTCTATAGGGTTAAGGTCTGGACTGCGAGCTGGCCAGGCCATAGCATTAATCCCAACGGCAGGAAGATAATTTCGGACTACCTGGGCAGTATGTGGTCGTGCTTTATCCTGCATTAGTAAAAAAATTGGACCTATAAAAGGGGCATATGGCACAACATGTTTTTCCAGAATGTTCAAAATGTAACGCTCAGCATTAAGGTTGCCATTATTTATCACCACTAAGTCGGTACGTGCTGTTAAAGAAATACCTCCCACACCATAATTGAGCCCCCACCAAATAAGGTCGTATTAAGGAAGTTACATTGGACATATCTTTCATTTGGCCGTCGAAACACTCTAACGCGTCTATCACATGTGTATAGACAAAATCTAGACTCATCTGTAAACAGAACTCGTTCTCAATCCGCTGTTACCCAGTTGACGTGCTCTCTAGCAAAATTTAGCCGGGCTCTGCGATGATCCACGGTTAAGAGCGGGCCTCGTGCAGGAATTCGGGGTTGCAAATTATCTTCCCTAAGTCGTTGTCGAATGGTTTCAATACTTATTCGAACCCCTTCTACGTTTTCCAACTGAGACTGCAACATTCTTGTAGTCACAAACCGTTGTCTCAAAGTTAAAAGTCTTAAAAAACGATCTTGAGCAGGAGTCGTAGCACGATTTCTACCCTGACCTGGTCTCCTAGTATGGCCACCAGTCTCCATGTACCATTGATACATACGAGAAATGGATGTATGGGATACACCAAACCTTTCAGCTATTCTGCGGAAACTCCAACCTTCTTGCACTAAAACAACCACTTCTTGGGCACACTCATCGCGAGTTAAATTTCTTGATTGCCGTTGCATCTTGACAATAAGTGAAAATTAAAAAGTAAATAGAGATGATAAATGAAGTCTAACAAAACTGCGAGGCGCGGCGATACTTCAACCTGATGTAGTAATTTACCAGAATTGGTATATTCGACATAACAAAAAAACTAAACATCTTATAAAAACGTTTACACACTTTTTAATAGTCATATACGAGGGTGTTTCAAAATTAATATAAACATTGTACTATTTACTTTGATAGAAAATTTTATTTACAAAATAATAAGTGGTGCGTTAATTTCTTGGAGTAGTGTATTTGTCATTGATATTTGTTCTATGCATATAATGGCGTGTGGCAAGAGGTAAGTTTAATTTTAATTGTACTTTATATTATATTATTCAAATACATATATAAAATCTGATTATGAAATTTTCTTTTAGTAGTTATGACTGGTCAAGGGATGCAACAAGCTGTCTCATCCAGTTATATGAGCAGCATCCCTGCTTGTATTTACCCACCCATAAAGAATACCACAACAGAAATACAAGAAATAAGGCTCTACGAAGCATTACTTTTGAATTTAATAAAAAAAATTCAACAGATGTTACTGCAGATGAATTAAAGAAAAAAATTCACGGTGTGAGAACTCAGTTTTTGTCTGAGCGGCAGAAAATTAAGAAAAGTGAAGTTTCGGGAGCTTCACTAGATGAGATTTATAAACCAAAACTGTGGTGTTTTGACCAATTAGGTTTTCTGCAACAAGGATCAGAATTAGTTAGTACAGGGGAATCTAATTTGACAATTCCCTTACAAACTTGCAGTAACTCAGATTTGGTAGAGTATGAGGTGAGTGTAAATTTAATTTATGTATAATTTTAGAATAATTGCAATTAATGCTAATTAAATATATATAATAAATAATACTTTTTATTTCAGTCCGACAGTGAAATTGTATTCGATGGAGATGTTGAGGATCTACCTGAAAGCAATATTTTTTTACCTCCTGAAAGAGCGAGTAGTAGTAGGTCAGGGAGTTCTTATACACCCAAAGTAGATCGACGTACCAAAAAAAGGAAGCGGGGGGATTCTGAAGATATCAGTGGGCTGTTAACTCATGCAGTGACAGCCCTTGAAAATATCAATAAAAATGACCCTACTATTACTACAGTATCTCCACAAAGTGCCTTTGAAAGGTAATTTATATTATAATATTAATCATGGAGCTTACCCAAGGAGTACAAACTTAATAGAGGAAATTGGCAAAAGCTGCCCACTAAATCACACAAATTCGGTTTTCTATTTTTACTACTAGCGGCGCTGATTTTCATTTAGTACAAACTGCTGTTTCAGTACTTTTTCAATGGTACAAACCAAACAACCAACAGAACTCCTTGTTTAGGCTCCTTAATATTCACTAATTTGGCAGGGGTTACATATGGGGCATTCCACACCAAGTTGACCACTTTTAAACCCGACCCCTTTTGATGAAATATATAAATATTTATAAAATATTTAAACATTTATATACCCCACTAAATAAGCTTCTGTACATTTTTATCCAACTAAAAAAGTTGTGATTTTTTTAAAAAATGCTTGATTTTTCTAAATTGCTTATAACTTTTTTAAAAACCAACCAATTTTTTTTAAAATGTACTTTCCAGAAAAAAATACAAACAGAACTCAAAGTGTATTTGATAAAATTTTTTAGAATATACCCAACTTTAAATGTTTTATTTGAATTAAAAAAAAAAATACGTTTAAAAACAAAAAATTTAAAAAAAAACAATTTAATAGTCAATTTTTAAAAAAAATATGTTTTATAAAAAAGCAGTATTTTTTTAAGTAATTTTTTTAAGCAATGAAAAAAATATATAAAATTTAAAGAAACGTTTTTAGTGGTTGTATATCATAAAAATTTCAAAGGTTCGATTTGGCGTGGAATGACCCATATTTTTTTGTAACTTAAATAATTATTTTTTTAAAATTTATTTCAGTTATGTAGCAGAAGAACTAAACAGCATCCAGGACGAAGATATCCTGGATGAAATAAAGGAAGGCATAATTCAGTTTATTTTTGACGGCAAAAGAAAGCAAAGAGAAAGAAATAAAGAAAATACTTATTAAAGTTAAAACAAATTATATTTAAATAATATAAATATATTTTTATTATTTAATGACTATATATTTTATGAATAACCTACCTACATTAGGGTGTCCATTATTTACCAAGTTGATTTTTATCAAACAGCACACCTTAAATTTTTATATATAGCCAAAAAGAGTTCATAATATTTATATTAAACCTTGCCATACAAACAATACATTTTCCATTTAAATAACTTGTGAGTTTTCTATCCATATTTATTTGTTCAATATAAAAAAATTAAATTTTAAAAGTAAAAAAAATTAGAGAAGTGCATCATGTTTTTGGCAAGGTTTAATTTTTTTGTTTTGTTTTATAATTTGTTCAGTGTAAAAACTAAACATTTAGGAGGTGCTGTTGGAAAATAAATCAACTTGGTAAATATCAGACACCCTAATCCTACAAATTTAAATGGTATAAATCAAAAATAAATTATATAAATCAAATATAATATATATCATATTATGATACAAATCAAAACTAAATTTAAAAAAATTATCATATTCTATCCTAGAAATAATTAATATAAACTTGTACATGTACATTAAATTGAAGCCTCTTGCCAAGGAACCCTACCACACCCATTAAAATATTCCTTAAATTCTTCTCTAATTGCCAGAGCTTCATTTCTTGGCCTACCGCAATTTTGCCTGGTTAGGCCGAAAATAAACCTATATCTTTGGTCAATCTCCTCTTCAGGATTTTGTCCCAAATATACATTTTTATTTTCGGTGCTCAAGAAATTATGAAGAGCGCAGCACGCTTGCGTTATTATTTTTGCCTTTACAGGCTTTAATGGAATTATGTTTAATAAAACCCTAAAACGATTAGCCAATATACCAAAAGCATTTTCAACTACACGACGAGCCCGGCTTAACCTGTAGTTAAAAACTCTTTGCTCCTTTGTCATATTCCTTAATGGATATGGTTTTAAAATATAGGAATATAGGATATAGGATATATTCCTGGTAGTGGTTTCTCCTCAGGCACATTTAGTTTATTTTTTTCAAGAGCTCTTGCCAAATCACTTTCCCAAAAAACACCACCATCAGAGATTCTTCCATTTATTCCCACATTAACATAAGTAAATTTATATGTTGCATCCACAAGTGCCAGTAAAACAATGCTATGTGTTTTTTTATAATTAAAAAAAGCAGATCCTTGCTCGGTTGGTGCTTTAATGCAAATATGCTTCCCATCCAGCGCTCCTATAACATTGGGTGCATTCCACAAATATTCAAAATTCCTGGAAATCTCCAACCATACAGCTGCAGTTGTAGGACACTAAAAACATAAAGATAATGTATATTTAAGTAATAGGAGTTTTATATTTTTAGGAATTTTTAAATTACTATTTATATTAATTTAAATAATTACAGGTACACTTTTTAGGTAATTATACCTACATTATTTTTTATAGGTTTGATTTAATTTTGATAAGTTTAATATAAAATCAGACTTTGTATATTATATAAAACCTATTATAATTAAGATACAAAATTTCTCTTAGTAAAAAATAATTAAAAACATCATTGGTTTGCCTAAAGGGCTGATGTTTATATGCATTACATACCTTCATATATTCATTTTTCAATTCATCATAAATTGCTTGACAGACTATGGGTATAAACATGGAAATTGTGCTCTCAGATATGCGGTAATTGTACATAAGACTACGAAAACTTTCCCCTGTGGCCAGATAGTTTCGCGAAAAATACTTTCCTTTGTTATTCTATGAGAAATTTTTGATAACAGTTTTTCAAAGCTATGGCTATCCATACGTAAATAATTTCTATATTTCTCAACATCAGAGGTTAATAATTCCTGGACCAAATTAATGTTGCCTCTACTCCTATCTAACCAAGGCCTCACCCACCATTTTCTGGGCCTTCTTTCTGGAGTGTCTCTCGATAATAAAGCAGCGGCAGCGAGAATCACACAAATAACGGCAGCTTGTTGCTTTTTTCTTGAATTCTTTTAACGTATAACAAACAACAATACACTATTTTAACATAACCTTATGTTCTGTGAACATAACCTCACAGATTTTTATGTTTTTCTTCGGTTGGTATCATGCAAGTTGAAATTGGAGTTGCACAGTGTTTTACAGTCAGCAATAAAACTTGCATGCAAGAAAAATTGCTGCAAGAAAGATTGCTGCAAGGAAAATTGCAAGCTGTAATACGGGCTTTAGACTCGTGTTTTAATTTTTTTTTCAATTCTTTTTTCTCAAATCCCAAGAGACTACCTATCGAACGGTGCTTGTTAAAGTATATAGTTCCAGTTGATTTTATCTCACATCTCATAGTATTTCGATTAACTTTCATTGTCAAATAATGATGATTAGGTTGTGGTGGTGGTGATTTTGTCTGCGTTGGTGTTTTCGAAGGAAAAATAAATTTATCAATTTCCTTGGAAACGTGCTCATGTAGAAAAGTAGCCAAATCTTCAACTTCATACGTTCCTACTGGTATCTCAAATTCTTTATTTTCAAAATGAAACAAGTTGTTTGTTTCATCAACATTTGCAATTGTGTGATAGGTAGCTAAATTAATTAAACCCAATTCATATTGTTCATCATCGTTTAGAATTATCGGTGGATACAGTTTTAATCGTAAAATGGATTCACGTCCAGAAAATGTAAAATTATAACTCATTTTGAACTTTGAACACAACAAGTACTGATGCTATTAGTACTACTGTTTAAACTCAACTAATCACTTTATCCTATTTAAAATAGTTTTATAAGGTATAAATGAAATTCAATTTAAATTCAATTTTTGTTTATTTTAAATCCATCTTTGAGATTGAGTAAAATTATCATTTCGATCATTTTCATTGATGGAGGACGAGGTGGTGGAGGAGGTATATACTTTTGTTTCTTAGAGGATGAGGGACCAGCCCCCAAACGATTAAGATCTTCATCAGGATCTTCATCAACCAAATTGAAACGCCACCTCCTTACAACCTTTTCCAAAAGTTTGATTTCCTGCTCATTTTCAATCTTTACCCTCATTAATTTAATTGGAAGGTTTCCAAATTTTTTCTTAAGGGTAACTGCTTTTGGTGTATATGATAAACTAATAAACACTTTATCATCACTCTTTTTTAATTCTTCTAAACCATGTCTATAGACAAAAATTCAATTTAAATAAAATTAGTTAACACATTAAAAAAAAAAAAAATACTTACGTAAACAGCTGCTTACAAACAACATACAATTCATTGGTTGATAAATTATCTTTATCAGTGGAAAAAAGTACCAAAGTAGAAGAAATATTTGCCATTTTGTTTTACGCTGCTGCTGCTGCTGCTGCTACTGCTGGTTACTGTGTGTGTGTGAATTGTGAAAATCTAAGCCTTACATTTCGCATTTATACTCACTTATTGACGTAATTCTTAACCTTTGAATTTGTTTTTCTGCATTTTAGAAAAACATGTTTTGCTTACAATGTCAAATTATCCAATTAAAATTTAATTAAAAAAACACACACGTGCAAGAAAACCTAATTATTAGCATATTGAAGGTTAACACATGCAAGATAAAACTAATTAAAATTTATTAGCTTTCGTTATTAGATATTGAAGGTTAACACATGCAAAATAAAATTAATTAAAATTTAATGATTAAAAAGTTTAAAGGTTGAAAAATACAAATAGTATATATAACAAGTCTGTTTATCGTAAATTCTCAGTTTCTTCAAACAAGTTCAAGAGTATGAGTGTCCAAACCATTGATGATATTTCAAAAGAGACTGTGACTAAATGTGAACAAGTAAGTAGACTATGTAAGACAAAGGATGAATATGAATGTTTTATTAAGCATTTAAAAAAAATTATTTTAATTTTAAAAAGAGCTATTAAAAATAAAAGCGAATGTGTGGGAAACTTTTCAAAAATTAAATCCAACTTGGCTTTATTGAAACGTTATTTGGAAATTTTTAAAAAAAGCAAAGCAAATGTTGTACGTGGTGGTGCTTTAGGTAGAAAATTTTCACAAATTAAATGGCAGGATGTTGAATCCTGTTTTAATAGTAGAATTCGTTCTGGAATTATTAGCAATTTAGGAATTAAAGACCCCAGGGTATTTTTACAACAAGAATTTCGTAGTTTTAATATAAAAATTAAAGGGGGATTGAAAAAGTCAATGTTGAAAGTTAATGTAGTTTTTGCTGGATTGTTTATAAAACCTCAAAATGATGAAACTTCTGTTAATTTTTTTCAAACTAAAAATGAAATTATTAATGTTAATACCAAATTGAAAGATTGTTTTAAAGAATTTGTTGTTGATAGAATTTTATTAAAGTTGAGCGAGTTTCAGGAGAAGGATAGCGGTTGGAGTTTGTATAAAATTTTACATTTAAAGGTTAATATTAACCATTATAACCCCATTAAACCGGGCGTTTCTACATACGTTTCCCTACCAGCTTTTGTTGCAAAGTCGAAAAGTGTCATCAATATTCGAAATAATGATGAGTATTGTTTTTTATATTCAGTAGTTGCTGCATTATTTCCAGTTACTGAACATTCAACACATTCAGTCACAAAAACAGCAAAAATACATACATCACCACACTCCGTAATAAAAAAGATTATAAAACATAAGATCAAGAAACAACATTCGAGGCCCCACGTTCAAGGCGTCATTTTGTGTAACCTCAACTCGAGGGCTATGGCGAACGGCAGCTTTACAGTGGTGAGATGGGTCGATGGGCAAATGTTGTTTTTCGATACTTACGTGTATACAAAATATATTTACTAAAATTAAATAAACGCAAATTAAAATTGGGCGCCAGTGTCTTATTATGGCCAGTTGTTAAAGTCCCCATAAGCCAGACACAAACTTAATAGGCATAAGGGCAATAAAAAAAAGTCAAGTTTAAAAATTATTAAGTATAATAAAATTTGGTTATCACTGTTGTTAAGGTGATTTTATTTGAAAATGATTATTATTATTAGGACATTTAATTATGTTATTGGTGCACCCTTATATGGCCATATATGGTTTACAAAGAACCAAATCCAATATGACTAAACTTAACATGAGCAAAATTTTACTGGTAATATAAATAAAAACTTGAGTTACGATAAATAAAGGTTGAAGACCAACTTAAAATTTCCTTAATTTAAAGATACACAAAAGTTTAACGGCGTGTAGTGAACACTGTTACTTAAAACATTACTTAAACATAACATAACTTAAAAGGGGGGTACGACCTGATTAGCCTGAGCTCTGGTGGATCCTGGAGAATTAGGAATCCTACGTAGTGGTTCTCCGGTTGACTCAAAAGTTGGTTTTGACGCCAAAACAGTCGAGGTAAACTTCCATAAAAACTGGTTGAAAGAATTTTCCCGATGTGAAATGGTACAGGAAGGACTTAAACATCCTTACTTAAAAACCGTACTTAAAAACCCCTTGTTCTAAGGAGTTTTTTTTTAACCAATAACGTCACGACCGCATGGAGACTAGGTCAACAAAAAATATATTGGATTCAACAACCACCCTGAGCTCATCGTACCAAACGAAAATTGTCTTGGTCGGAATTATACAATTAGATTGAGAGATTTACCACGTATTTTTGGAAATTATCCATAATTTAAGCACAAACTTAACTCTCATCTAATCGCTTCAACGACCAAATCGAAAAGGAAATCGTAAACCTTATTAAGTGCGTAGAAGATTATTTAAACAAAAAAAATACAATGTTGCCAAGATGTTGTGAATGTTGTCGAGAGAACTAAAAGCAAATTAGGAGTGTTCTGGGTTGCATACTATCAAAACCAGGTAATAAACAAAATAATAAGAATATTTAAATTCCTTTGGAAAGAGGCAATTAAACAAATATCCCATTTAACAATAGTTAAACTTAAAATAAATCAACTAAATAGTTCACATCTAAACCGTTCTAGATGTAAAAAAACTAATAAAATAAAATAAATGTGTAGCTGTCAAAATGACGGTTACAATCTAAAAAAATGTTTTTTTTTTGTTGTATAACATTTTAGCCTGTTTAAGATATTGATCATCTTATGGAACCAGGCGCCGGAGTTTCTAATAAAACATTTTTTTCCTTTCATTTAGACTCATTTTAGTTCAATTTCACAATCCTTAGATTGTTAAATTAAATTAAAACGGTAGATGGATCTTGAAGGTACTTATTGATTTTTGTCTCGGGCACATCGGTAATCCGTGCCAACCCGTTTTTAACGTGGAGCACGTTGTTGCGCACCGGCACTAATCTATTTGTAACTTTATTATCTGT